GAAGCATTGTCAAAACAAAACATTAAAGCCTGACTAGCCTCGCTTTCATGCGACTTGTCCCGGGTGCCGACCGAGTGGTCCGCCATATTTGCATTCGGTGTATGGAATTAAAAGAACCATCAAACAATGAAAGTTTAAAATTTAAAGCGGTACTATGATCAAATTTTTACCCCTTGATTTTTTAGGTGTATCACATAGAATTCCTTGAAAGAATAAAAACGCTGTTTACCGTTTGCAAATATCTGCATTAGTTCCGGAGATACTTAAGTTTGAAAAATGTGAAAAATATGCAAATGAGGTGACTGATGACGTCATACACTCAACCCAATACTATATCAAGTAAATAAATAGACCTACATGTATCTTGGCCAATTTGCAGCACAGACCATTGAAACTTGGTAGGCTAACAGCTCTACAGGAAACAAACCTACCGCTATAAAAAATTCTGTTCCCATGGCAACTCACTCTTTTCCAGTTCCCATCCACTTGATTTCAATATGTTAGTGATTTTCAGCTCAAAAAAACGTTAAACAAGGCCACAAACTTGAGCTAACATATTGATATGCTTGCTGGATTGTGGATATGAGGCACCATTTGCGAATATCAAAATGGAACGGCAAAGGTGGCCAGAAATGCCTTTAATATTGGGGACGTCTGGAACCCAGTACGTTGCCAGGGTAACATAACTGTTAAGCTCGTATTGTGGAGCACATTTAGAAGAATCTTACTGCAAAGAATCAAAAATTTGTGATAGAAGTTGGATGAGATATCTTTTTTCATCATGTTTGAGTGTATGACGTCATCACTTGGCTAATTTGCATATTTTTAAAACTTGAATATCTCTGGAACGAAAAGAGATATTTGAAAATAGTAAAGAGCATTTTTCTTCTTATACAGGCTACTAAATTATGTTTTAAAATGGCTTCAATAGGAAAGATGCGCTTTTTGTCATAGTACCACTTTAAGGGTAGCAGTCTGCTAATCCAAACAGAAGGTCACAGAACAACAGTCTAGAGGATTGCCAAATAAAAAAAATAAAAAATCTAACTCTAACTTCCAGGCTAGAATATAGCTCAAGCGGAAGTATGGCATCTTTTAGGCAGGTGGTGATAAAGATAACATCAGTTGACAGCTATTACTCTCTCTCCCTCTCTACTTGTGAGTCACAATACTGCTTGTTTTTGTTTTACTTCTGATCAGTAGAAAATGTACCAAAAACTTCAAAAACCAATTTAAAAAAAATTGTAATGCAAAACCAAAGCAAATGCCAATTGATTTTTGTCATTCAAATTAAAACCACTCTTTTCTCAGTCTGGTAACATTAGTCTTGGGTATTAACAAAAGTTCCTTTGATTTAAAGGTAATTAACTTAAAATTGCATGTTAACAAAAGTGACGCAAAAATGATGCTAAACTAAACATAGTGGCAACAATGGTTTAATACATAACAAACTGTAATGGTGATTACTATAAATTTTGTACCTTGAGACTTTGAAGCTGAGCCTCTAGCTCAGCTATCCGCGAGATCTTGTTTAGATGTTCTTGTTGAAGAATCTGAATGTGCTGTCTCAAAGTTAGGATTTCCTGATTCTTCTCTGAATGTTGATGTTGCTGCAAGAAACAGATTTTGTCGGCTCATTCAGCCCAAAGTAACCAATCAAAGTACGTGTAAAGAAGTACATGTACAGTGAACTCTCATCTTGCAGACAACCCACTACTATGAACACCTCACTATTAACTACAGAAGCTACCTGCAGCCAGAACTACAAACAAATGTGTGGGAACAACTCCTGCTATTATGGACTCTTACAAAGTGCACAATCTTGAGGGTATTAGAAAAATGTCAGGGCAACCAGAAAAAAATGTTGGTGGCAGAGTTTGTGTCCTGTGTATACATGTATGTATGCATAAAAATTTTGTAGGATTTGCAAATGTGAAGCCCATCCCATCCTTGAGAAGCACAGAATTAAGCTTAAGTTTAAGTTGAACAAACAAAAGAAATAAAAGAAGAAAATATGAAAGACAAAAATGAGTTACCACACTGTACAATTTAAACAATTTTACAAACAGTCAATTTATGAGTCAGGATGTTTAAAAATTGTAAAAGACTCCAGCCTGAAATTTTGAAGCTGAGAAGCCCAGGATGCTTTTTTTGCAAAACCTAGTGTGAAATCTGGTTGGCAGATATGCTGGAATGAACTGGTTAGCATACTATCAAGGCAGGGAAGTAGAAAATCCCCCCAGGGTTAATGCCAACTTTTTGAATTCCGAAGCAGGTGTTCAGACTTGAGGAGAGACTACAGACTGATATACCTGATTTACACGCATCTTTGATCCCGAAAACTTTGACTCTGCTCTCCAAGGTGGAGACCAAGATGGGTGTCCCGAGCTGCTCTTTGTTGCTAAAGAAGCTATTGGTGGTGGCGTGTTAAAAGAAGGTACCTTGGCTTGAGCACCTCGTGAGCTACTCGGATTAAAGGGTGGAGGAGTTACCCCGCTTGCTGATAAAGGTGTATTCAGCGGAGTGCTGGGAGTTGTGGGGCTGCTTGTGGTTGTACCATTACTGTTAACCCAACTGGAACTAGATCCAGGCTGTACTCCAGAGGCTGTTGTTGTCCAGATGACAATTTCTGGTGAACTTGATGAGCGATGTGGGTTTATCACGTCCACACTGTTGCCTGTCAACATGATGTTCTGTCCAACTTCTAGAGCAACCACCTCTGTACTTGAGCGATCAAGATTTAGGCCATCAGAACTGAGTGACTCTACCATTGTAGGTCGATCATTTTGTTTCCATCTCTGAAACAAACAAAAAGCAGGATCAGAATATTAAGTTACAAAAAAAGACAATGTCATAAATTATTCCATCACTGTAACATCCCTCGAAAAGTGTGCACCTGAGGCAAAGTGATCCACTCTACTAGAGCTTATCGCTGTCACCATAGCATGAGAAGTGCTGCTACTTTCCTCTGGATGGGATGCAGTCATGTCATTACAGTTTTGCAACGCTGTGCTTGTTGCTCCTTCAATACTTTTACTCTTGAGACAATGAAACCATCAACTACAGTGTAATTACTAGGTAATCTGTGGCATTGTGGTATTCACCCAGATTTTCTGGTTTTGCAATGACACAATCTGACTTGACTAACTTATGACACTTGTGGGTTAAGAGTATACAATTTTCACAATAATACTGAAATTTTCCATCAAAACCAAAAATGAGATGCCCATATGAATTTACATTAATACTGCCAAAAGTCTCATCTCTCTTTATGTAAAATCAGTAAAATCAGAATTAATTTCACAATGTCACTGAGTTGCTGCTTAGTTTAGGATTCACTGCACTTGACCAAATTAAAACAGAACGTTTGAAGCATGCTCTAACTGATCCGGTCAGGGTCTCATTTCTCTCAACAATTTTCACTTAATACGCAACTTTCCCAAACTATACACAGTTGAGAGTCTCTTGCTCTTTTTACAGGTTCATGATGCTATTTTAAACCGTGATAATCAGCTCTAGCCATGGCAAAACTGATCCAACATGTACTCAAGCTTTACCTGTGAATGATCGCTAGCATTGCCATCTTCGTCGACCAATCTTCTTCTTTTCGAGTCATGAGGGTTTCTGTGCAACGATGGATCGGTGACGTTTCCACTTCCGTGACTCCCAGAGAAAGAAACCTCGGCAATATCTGGGGAATCGGCGTACACAGTGACCTTACACATCGCGTAACAGTTGCGACGCTTTCCCGTGCAATTCGCTCTCGGAGTGCATCCGTACCTCTTTCCGGGACAGTACAAACATTCACTGACCAGCAGGTACCTCTCAGTTCGTTTTCCCCTCGTTGGAGGTTGCATGCCTTCCCTTAGCCTGCAGCCAAGTCGCCCCGTCACTGAAGGACGCTCTGGACGACCAGACACGGTTTCCATAACAGCTCCACCACCGTAGTTCAATCGTTCGAAGTTCCAGCTAATCTGCTTCGAGAAAAACTGTGGAAGTTCTGCAACGGGAATTTTCAGCGGCTCCCCCCATTCAGGCAAGGCACAATTACGGCACATATTCAAACTAATTGAGTCAGAGAACCCTTTAAATCACGAGAATATTACGTCGGAAATGATAGATTACTTCTATGATGTTGACGAGAGAGACGCCATGTTCTTCTACAGGGCAACACCGCTGGACGAAGCAAAATCTACCCAGGATCCATTGCGTGTCTTCGCTTCTGCCAATTTTCGAACTAAGCGGGTAGCTGTAAATGAGGTCTACTAAAAACGTTTTAGAAATTTACTACCTGAATCTAACTTGTTCAACGCGGCCACACCAGATCAAGACGGGATGTGAAGTTATGGCTTTTCTTTCTTTCTTTCTTCCTTTTTTTTTTTCAAGCCAGCTAGATTTCCAGCTATTTTGGGTAATTGGGAAATCGAGCCTACTGTACATGTACTGCCAGAGCTGACCGAAAGGAAATACATCGACCAGACGGCAGGAGCCAATGGTCATGGGCTCCTAGCCCTGTCGACGGCTACTGAGACGAGACAAAAGTATTTCATTTCTTTTATTTATTTACAAATCTCCTTACGACTCTACGAATGTTTTACTACAATTTTGTTAATGATAAAATCGCATTGCCTTTTTACTCAGTCGATCCTCTCCACAACGGCCTCCTTAGGGACAGAGGAAGGTGACGTGGGGAGGTGACCGTTTTTCCGGGAGTGCAACATTTCTTCATTATTTTTAGAAATTGTTTTTTTTATTTTATTTTTATTTTTTGAAAAAGTTTATTGTCGCTTCAGTTGAGAATCTGACCCATTTCCGAAAATCATATTCATATTCTCTGATAAGCTCATAAGAAGACTTCGTGTGTTTTTTGTCAGCCTCGTTGTTGCTAGTGTTTTGTCAGTGCTTAGACCTGTTTGTCACCTCCTCTCCTTGTGGAATATAAGTCGGTTGTCAGGCCAGGTCTGGAAAAAATTATAAGTAATAGCTGAATTGTGAACCAAAAGCAAATCACCCCCATGTTGTTACATAACATTTTTCACAACTTTAACAAAGCTATAAGATGCGAGGTAACTTAAAAGTGTATCTTTTTTCAACTCTTTTCATGTCATATAGAGAGGGGATGTCTGAATTTCCTGCATGGATCCCCATTCATTTCTGGGTGAAATATATTTTACAATGTACATGTATAAAAAGCTTTTTAATTTGAACGAATTTTATAGCTTTGCGAAAAATTTGCTTCAATTTGTTTTGCTCTTTATCCTTTCCCTACAGAGCTACATAATGACATTCATTGCAAAATTTCTGAACGGATGTGTCCCACCTTTGATCCAACCTCAGAAATGTGAATAGAGTTCAACTTCCGGTCCCGCCTGGGTGGGATAACAATCCGCGCCAGAAACGACCAATCAACTGCCTGCCGCGCGCTGAAATCCACAGCGGTCTTGGATTTCAGTCAGGTCGAGTGGTTGCGGCAACTGAAGGCAGTCGTCGAAGTTATTCGTTGTGAGTTTCTTCTGAATTTTCTGGCGATTTTGCAATCTTTCTGCCGTTGATTTTCAAGAAGGCGGGTTTTTGATAAGCGAAGATGAAAACATTGTGGATTTTGACTCTCGTTTGCTTGGCCATTTTCGTGGTGGACGCGAAAAAGGTGAGATTTGCTACTTTGTCGTGTTCGGCCGGTATCAAAGTTGGAGTATGAAAGACTCTCTGTTCTCGCTCGATAAACATTCTGTGTTAAAACTATAATTTACTACACTAACCTCTCTTTGAGCTGTCCAATTGCTAGTTTAATGAGATCCAAAGAATTTGATTCCTTTTTCACAGGCTAAAGAACGTATATGGATGGATACGGGCAATGCGCATTTTAGTGAAGTTTGTGTGTCTTCGATTACAGCTTTGATCTGAGATTTATTGATCCGTTGTGTATGATGATCCTATTCCTACATTTGTTAAATTCCCTGAAAGGTATTATAAAGGCACACGAGTTTCAGGCTGTAAGTCGGAACTGCATATATTATTAGTAAAAGAGAACAACAATTTGTTTTGTGCGAAGCTTTCCGGATCGAATAGGTATTCATTGGTTAGCCATATATGCATTGTGCACGATTGTAAAGGTAAACATCTCTCAGATTCCAGACATTCTATTAATGGAATAATTTTCCATTAGGCATTTATTCTTATTTTTGTTCTTTCTCTTGTATTTTACATTAGAAACGTTTTAGACATAATTTTACCCAGTGTCTTAGAAAGTTGTCACAGACCAGACAACAACAGTCTATTACTTATGAATGAGACATTTTGGATTGTCATAGCTGTTTAACATCTTATCATTATTACCCCTGCAGGGTTTTGGCCCAGAGGCCAAAACCCGAGGAGGCACCATAGGATTCCCCACGTGTATACGTACAAGGAATTTCACGAAAGTATTAAAGAAATGTGTTGGTTGTATGCGAAGCGTTCTCGAATTGATGAAACCAGGTGCGCACTGTGGTCTTGGGTAATGTGGGGCAAGGAACGCGGGCTCACAAAATGGCTGGAGTGGTGTCGGGTACATGAAATTCTTGATTTCAAAGTACTTGCATTTCGCCATCTTATAGCACCATTTCAAGGTTCTTGTAACCACGAGATCGCGTTTTGCTATCTTCAAGCAGCATTTCAAGGTCTCCCAACCACGAGTTCACATTTTGCCATCTTCGAGCAGCATTTCAAGGTCAAAAAATACTCTCCAACTACAATATGCAGCAATATGGCCTGCATGACGATTTTAGCGCGATCAAATGAATTCGCTTCGAAATGGCCAAGATTCTCATCTAGGACAGATTGAAAACGATTTCAAAGATCCTGAAGATGGATTTAAGGAGAAAAACAACTCAGAAGGTATCGTAAGAAATTCTGAAGTATACTAGAAATTCGTAGTCTCCTTGCATGTTTCGCCAAAAACAGAGATTTACCTGGATTTTAGCATCAAGTATGCTGGCTTCGTTTTCGCGGTAGAAATATGCAGCTTCTTTTTTGCGTACAATTTCTACAGCTTTAATATATCGTTGTTGAATTAAGTTCTGTACAGAGAAACTGGAAAATGCTCGCAGAAAATTGCTAGAATTTAAAGAAATATACACAGCATTTTCGTGCCCAACGCAGCTATGTTTACTCCTGGAAAGAAATTTGATCGGGTCAGATTTTGATCATGTGCTAGGCAACCACTTCTGAGCTGTGAGCGTGCGTCACGCAATCAACAAAACAACGCTATAAATTGTAATTTTCTTCAAGCTTCACCTAAACACTTGATTACCCTTGAGCCTAAAATTTACCTTTTCTTCTCAAAATCATTATCAAAAGTTTAGTCGACGAACGGCTTGCCTGGGTCCTTGCCTGTGGGGCAAGTAAGGAGAGGAAGTTACTTGCCCAAAGGGAAAATCTACTTGTCCCGGACAACCAGACGGGGTTTTTTGCGAGCCCTGTTGACTCTGATTTGCATATAAAGTGACTGTAACACGATACTTCTGTTCACGTCTCGCAAAAAAATTGACTTCGTTCTGCTTTTGAGATACGTTTGCTCGTATATCAAGACAAATGGTTTATTTCAGCATCAAATTGGAACAGCAGAGTAGTTTGACTTAATTTTTTGTTTCACAATAGATTTTCAACCTTTTTTTTCCTATTAAGTTCTACTGAGTGAAATTTTTGTAAAAGAAATATTAGTTTCCATGAAGGCAATGCAACCTTTTTTTCCAGAAAGTACTTCTTGAGCCCTTTCTAACGAGATATGGTAAACTGCTCTGCTGTAAATGGTTCGTGAGAATATTATGTAAACAATATCATGTGATAGAATGAGTTAAACAGAATGTATTGGTTTAGTTAACTTAGTTGATTGTTTGGATCATATTCATTGTAAGATGCCTAAGTTACTGGAACAGTATGAGTGATATAGTTTACAAAAGAAAATAAGATTTTCAGTTCATACAACAATGTTCAATATTATTGTTTTCAATCAGCAGAAATAAAAGAAAGTGGGGGCAGATTTAGTGATAACTATTACTAGTTTATCAAGTGTGTGTTTGTTTAGTTTATTGCCTTTCACTGGAATGCTCTCCTCAACTCTGATTAACATTTATGAAGCTTTATAAGTACAGGTTCCACATTTCCACTGCAAGTGGTACATAAATAACTATTACTTTTGTGTAAGAATCGTACGGATTTCTACGGAACAGCAAGAGCAATGATGCTCTCCCTAAAATGAATGATAAATTATCGCTAAAACCAAAACAAACCATTTTTCAACATTGATTGAACTATAGGACAGGGGTGGTCCTGTTATAGCAGTGGAATAAGAAATTTTAATAGATCACATTGATGTAACTTTAAATTATGCTGCTGTTTTTTGTCATTCTTAAACAGGACAGAGGTCAAAAACTGAAAAAATGGGAACGCTGGAATCACATCAAGAAAGCCATTCCGGGACAGCATGATGCCCATAGTGAGATTTATTTGTGATAAGCTTCCCCTTGCAGGGCTGTCGTTAAGTTTTGAGTCACCTGTTACCTTGTTCTCCTCACCCACAGCAAACTTGTTACTTTGTGGGTGAAATATTCTATCAGCAACTCACAATTTCACCTGAGGCATCAAGGGAAAATCAAGCATACTCAGCCTTAACAGGTGTTATGGGTTATAGTCCTTGATGACAGCCCTGCCTTGTAGCATTGGAGGAAAAGAAATATGTGGTGTGGAATCCTGATTTTTCGTAACTCTAAGGGAAACAAAAGTAGGTTTGGAAAAGTGGGTAGTTCAAGAAATCAGGGTTACAATGACAATGTTCTGCTGAGGGGAGGTAAACAATTTTGGTTTGAATTATCGCGAGGTTTGAAAAATTAAAGGTTTGAAAACATGGGATTTCACTGTTAGCACAAGTATCTCTTATTGCAAGTTCTTTTACTCTTCAGGAATCAAATCAGTAAGTTAAATATGAATGTATACAGTTGAAAAAAATATCCATAAACACACCATAGAAAGGCCATTAGACAGAAATCACAGACGGGGGTTAAAATAACGGCACAAATCAGACAATATTTTTAAAGGAAAGTTTGACGTTGAACTAGAATTTCCAGAGGGGTGTGTGTGTGCGAGTGAGTGTGCATGTAGGGAGGGGGGGGGTTCAAACCAAAACACTTCCATGGAAGGTATGGGTATTTTCTGGAACAACACCATTATAAAGGGTCTCAAAGGGGCTCCTAATAGACCAGGCTGCCCTGGAGGATTTTTGGGATCCTTGGTAACGCAGCCAACTGGCCTTGCAAAATTGCAGATCAACGTAGCATTTCTGAGTTAACTGTCCAGACAGGTACACGTCAACAAAATTATACTCACCCTGACCAGCTCTAAGAAATATTTTGCTGAAAAGAAACCTTAACTCAAAAAAAAAAAAAAAAAAACAGCAGTATCCACTCATTGATGGTAGAGCAGCCAGGAATGGGGTGGGGGGTGTTAGGAGTAAGAGATAAGGAGAAGTGACTGATGTGATGTGACAGGAGTTGCTTTTTCTGTAATCCTCATTCCTGTTTTGTGAACCCTCTTCTTGCAATTACAATTATATAATAATTAATTTTAAAAACAGCAATTTTTGTCTTTACCCCGCCCCCATCCTCACTTTCTGGGCTACTCAACAACCTTTTCATTTCTGCTTGGTACTTACATATATACCAGGTCGCCACTTCTAGTACTCTAACTTGTTACTTGGTTGTAGCCTTGATATATGCACAGCGACCACGGCCTGGAAAACATGGAAACGTACCAGAGAAAAATGGCGGCAGTCATGTTGTATTAGCAAAAGTCTTTTTCTTATTTTTTCATCGTTTACTCTCATTCTGTGGTGTTACTACCCTTAACACCTGTTACAGGTGCAGTATGGACAATTTCTAGATGTGTTTCTTAATTTTCTTCTCACATAGAAAGCTGCAGAATGCTCCCAGCGCGTCTTTTGGATTGGTTCCACATTCTTCGTTCTGTACATCAGAAGGAACAGTGGAAGCTTAGTGGTTTTGAGCTGCCTAAGCTTGGAGAGGTTCTACCGCACTTGAAGATAAAGGAAGCAAAAATGCCTTTCCCTTCAGGTAGGAATCTTGAGCAGAGGGAAGTCTACATTCATTCCTGGCACCCATCACACAGTAAAACCTCTTTGTCGCCTGCTCACTTTAAATTTTTGTTATTGTTTATGTCAGGATCAGACAAAACAGATTGCCGTGAACCAATACACTCTGTGTTCAACTATGTGTTGGATCAAAATGCTGATGGTGTTTTGGATGAAGCTGAGCTGGCAGACATTTATGAGATTGGAACAGAGCCTTGCATAAAATCATTCTTTAAGGATTGTGCCAAAGGAAGAGAGACTTTCACAGAAGCTGATTTTTGTTCTTGTTTTACCACAGCTGGTGAGGGAGAACTTTTTATGTTCTAAAAATTCTAAAAGTAAAAAGGTATTTTTGGGGTTGTAACTCAGAGCTGTTTTTTTTCCTTCACTATGGTATAGGGTATGGTGGGTACATTGCATTTCAGATTTACAGGATCATATTTGTTACATGTTTAAACTTTTGGCAAGACACTAAGGGGACTTCCTTTAGTTCTTTGGGCCTTTATATTCTTCAGGAAAGAGAAATTGCCTTTAAACCCTCAACCCCAGATACATCAACACTCAAGGATGACCCCCCAGCCCCAGATGTGCTAATTTCCAAGAATGACCCCCCCAGCCTCAGATGCACCAACCCCCAAGGATGAGTGTTTTCACATTAGAAGCCCGTGCTACTTCCTGATAGGTCCATATTATATTTAGTGCTTTAAACAAATGATGCCAATCATGACTTTTATCTTACAGAACCGCCATGCCTACACAAATTGCGCAAAATCCCATCCATACTGTTGAGAGGAGAGTCCCGGCCACTCCCTGGCATTTACACTCCATCCTGTGATGAAGATGGATTCTACCTCCCCCGTCAATGCAAAGTTACCGACAGAAGTGGTAATAAGGAATGCTGGTGTGTGGACAGAAATGGAAGCAAGATTGAAGGACTGACAGAGTGTGGTTAGTATTCAAAACAATACAGACCAAACTTTCGTAAGGTATTTTCTTTTTGAATTACTGCAAAAACTTGTTGGTCTAGGTTTCAATTTACTCTTCACGTTACTCTAATTTTCTCATTTTTTCATCAAAATTTGATGAAAAGATGTCATTGATTGGTCAAGTGAAGTTTGTTTTTTCATTTCAACTTAAAAATTATCATTTCTCTATTGCCATTTAGATGGTGTTAACTTTATCTTGGTGGCAATGCAACAATTTTGACAACTTTTGACAAGGTTATGATGTGAATTGTTGTGTGTAAATTAAATTGACTAATATGTTTATAATTGTTGTGAATAACTTGAAAATTGTCGCTAAGGATTCAATGTAAATCATGTTTTTTTAACCCTATGACACATTGGTGTAGCTACAAAACATATCCATACCTTCCCCACAGAAGGGACTTTTTCAAAGACCCCCACCTTATTTAATTCCATTTAAGCTTCATACATTTCTTAGATTTTGGGGGGTGTTACAGAACCCCCACCCCCAAGAAATTCCAGTCCTGTCTGTGGGGGAGCATGGATACTTTTTTTGGAACAACACATTTTGACATCAACTGTGATATAACAGGGACATGGAATATATTTGTTAAATAATGTTGATAATTATAACTGTTAATTTGTTTTTAGTGGACAACACAGAGCCTCCTAAGGAAGAAGAAGTAGAAGAGGAAGCTGTTGTGAATCCATCAAAGTAGATAAATTTGAGAGACGTTCCTTCTCCAGCAGCTACTGGTGCATTGATTAAATAGCCACTAGTGACAACTGCTAAAAATATTGTAACTTTAATAAAGATAAACATACTGAATATTATAGGTTTGTGTTGAATAGTTAGAAAGAAATGAAACTTTTCAAGACTAAGTCAATCCTGTAGTTAATAAGTATCTTATTCTTTCACGCTCAATCTTGCTTAAATAACAGCTAAATCAAGTGAATTGTTTTGGCTAGTAAGGGAATGTGTAGGGAATTTTTGTGCTTAAGATGAATTGAAATAAAGTAAACAAAAATAAGAGGTTGTTTTTTTCACGTGTAGTAGGAAGTAGTGAGCTAGGCTAGCTAGTGAGCTGGTGGACTAGCTCCCTTTATCCTTGAAAATTTCAATTTTTCTACTTTGTTCCCTGACAATAAATTCCATTGTACCTAAAAAAAAATTGTCAAAGTTCCTTTTGATAGTAGTGATATCCCTTGTTCCCTCAAATTAATCCCAAAATTATCCCTTGTTCCTCCAAAGCCCTGGGAAGCCCCCAAGACTTGTCCCACAGCCAAGGACTCTCTTAGCCTTGAAAAAGGAATGGAGACACAAACACAACTTCTTGAATTAAAATTAAGACTGTGAGAACTATGAAATTTGACTGAAATTGTGGGAGAAGAGTATTTTTTGAAGAACCATTTCCATCCCGATAATTCGGGCAAAGGAGGACTAAACGCAATGAGCAAAGCATAATTTTTCACAGGTTTCCCAAGCTCAAACTACGTGGTGTATGCGACAGCTTGTGTATATAGAGAATTGTATGAGAAAATCACCGATCATAAATAAAATTGTGGGAGCAACTTCAGAATACCCGCCCACTTTATTTACTTTATTTCAAGAACGAGGTATATAACAATAGTTGCTATTCTTATTCATTGAGATGCTAATAAGTGGCCGGGTACTCTGGAGTTTAGCGAAATTGTGTAAATAACTATCTCATTTGAAATAGAGTTTTCCTACCTCAAATGTGTCGCGTACCTGTCTATTGTGACGATTTTAAAGCCATTCTGACGCCGTTTAGTGGAGTTGCTCGAAACCGTCGTCTCTCCTTCTAAAAGAATGGAATCCATTCTTTTAAAAGGAGAGACAACGGTTTCGAATAACTTCACTAAACGGCGTCAGAGTGGCTTTAAAAGCGGCACAAAAAACAAGTACGCGGCATATTTGATGTAGGAAAACTTTATTTCAAATGAGATAGTTATTTACACAATTTTTTTTTTTTTTTGATCATCGCTGATTTTCTCATACAATTCTCTATATACACCAGCTGTCGCATACACCACGTATTTTGAGCTTGGGAAGCCTGTGAATTTTTACACTGATTTATGACAGCTTCCCAGGGGTTTGGGGGAGCAAAAGAGCATGATCATGTAATAGGGAGCAAGGGATCTTTTCTAGATTATTAAAACTCACTGCGAACAAGATACCTCTCTACTTATTGCTTAGGGGAACGACGACTTAAGACTTCAAGCATTGTTTGGTGGTATTAAAGAGTTTCTGTTTTAATATATCGTTAGCGCGTCACAGGAGAGAAATTTAGAACTTTCTCAAGACTTCATTTTGACAACATTTCATATTCGGGGTCACGAGGGCTGGGGGCGAAGAGGGCGTTCACCTTCGTTGGAATCACCTACCTTTTGCAGCTAACTGAATAGGCGATTTGCATGATGGCGTCATTTGACTGCAACTACCAGAGTCCTTCAATTTTTTTCTGTTTCTTATGCTAATTATAGCCTGTGTAGCTGGCGGTATTGTAGGCGCGCGAAATAATGTTTTGGCGTAGGCCGAAACAAAGTTTTGGCGGCGAATTTTCGCCGCCAGAACTTTATTTCGGGCTACGCCAAAACTTTATTCCGCGCGTCTACGATGCCGCCAGCTACGCAGGCTAGCTAATTAGGGCAATTGTTATTTATTTAAAAATATAAGTAATGAATAAAAATCGAAAGGAATTGTAGTAGTTGTAGTCAAATGACGACAACGTGCAAATCTGCTATTCCAAAAGTACGAGACAAGCAAATGACACACGAGACATGGCATTTCCGGTGTAAATTCCGGAAGTTCCGTAATCTAAGTGACGTCAGATCTTGACAGCTGCTATTTATACCGGTGAAGGTTCTCGGGAAACAACAAGAGAAGTATCAAACATGGCGGCGAACCACCGGTTATTTTGCTTGCTTTCCATGTTACTGGTAAGTTCAAAGTCAGTGTTCTTTGTGCTTCAGTTCGGTTTATCAGTTGTTTGAATTTTGTTGATTGTTCTCTCTACATTCATTTCACACAGGTTGGTGTGGTTATCAGTAGCGCAGACGATGAAAATCCAGGTAATGTCGTATTCATCGCAAAACTTTGTTCGTAATTTTCAGCAGACTGATAAGAAAAGAGGGGTTGTTAAGTTCTTTACACTATGTCTTATGAGCGTTGCTGTAGAATTCTAAGAAGTTTCTCAGGGTAACAGACCTAACTGAGAATGAAACTCGAACATACCAAAAACTTTGATCTGTGCAGCCGAATTAAATTAGCCAAGCATGTAAAATCATTTTTCCATGTAAGCTTACGTCGCGTCTTAATCTTATTTACAAGCCAGTTGTAAAGAGGTGCGTTTGTTTCTGTTCAACCCCTAGCTACCAGAGTAAAGGATTGACTGTATGGAACCGCCAGTATTTGGGAAAAGCCCATCTCATACACAACAAACTCCTATAAGCTTAATTAAGCTTAACTACAAACTATAATTGTACGGCAAAAACGATGTCCGAGTTTTGAGAGCGTAAAATTCTTTACTAATAACACAGCTCTACTGGGATACATACATTGTCTCGTATTGCTTAATTGTTGGTTGGTTTTGAATTCATGTGTGCCAGAAACTACCGATCAGATCATTGTACATGACGCGGTCAGACAACTTAATCATCAGTAAGCTTATGAAATTTCTGGGTTGCCTCCCAGACACATAAAATTAATGTAGGGATATTTCCTTGGTAATGTTTTTTTAAGTCTAGTCAGACATTATTTCCTAAATAAGTTACCGCCCTGGGAGGTGTTGATGTTTTGTTGACAGAACTACTACTCTTGGATTGAGCACAGACTCACTGATCTTACTAATGCAGGGTTACTCTCATTCCCTTGTACGAAAGAATGATTTCACCATAAGCCAAGTAAATTGTTAATGAATCATTCAGTTATGCCATTGTCAAGAAAGTTAACTACATGTATCCCATCAGGTAAAAGAGGGATAAATCTGCTAAAAATGTTAGAAAAATCGGATCATGCATCTTTTAGGGTACCTCGATCAATATATTGACTGATGCATCAGTCGATATATTGATCGTTACTTGATCGACACTCAACCGACACACGCCCGAGATATACTGTCACAGTTTGCACCCAATTTTTGTGCATCATCTGTAAAGTTGTTTCCAAGGCCTGTAATAGTAAAATATTTAAGAGCCAGGCACACTGCAGTGCCAGTTGTTTGTACAGTGTGTGTTCATGGTCATTACCTGTACATGTTGAATACATTTTTAACTAACACAGGAGTCTTCATTTTGTTGTTAAAATAGATGTTTGCCAGCAGAGAGTCAAACCGGGTATGTGCATGGGTTATTTTCCAAAGTGGTACTTTGACAGTAAGTTGAACAAGTGCAAGGAATTCATCTTCGGAGGGTGCCAGGGAAATAGAAACAACTTTGAGTCCATAGAGGAATGTGAGAGGACATGCCTACATGCAAGTGAGTCTTTAAGTAACCAGGTTCAAAGTACATTGCTTATGATTTTGGTGGTGTCTTGTTTGAAACAGGTTCCCTATGTTGATGGGTTTTTTTTTCTACTCTGCCCCCTGTACATCTCTCTTGCCACACCCCTCCCCTCCCCCCCCCCTCTCCTGTAAACAGGCTGGGACATAGTTCAAGGAACACAACACTCTTGACTAGTCAGCGCAGGCAAGGAGTCAATCAATCAATCTATCAACCAATCAATCAACTTTATTTAGAGAGGGTGACACATGACAGTATAAACTGAGTAAACAACTTAGCTTAAACAGCATTGCTCTGTTTTCTGACCAGATTCAACCACTTATAGGACCAAACACTATGTAACATCGTGGTCACAAAGTGTCCCACTACACCCCTGTATAGTTAAATCTATCTTCAGTGCTTTCACTTTACCAACGTATGTTTTCTTGTACATGATTTCTCTCAGATGACAAAGAATTACAGTCTTCCTATGACCAGGAAGAAAAGCAAGAAAGATCCTCAACCACTCATTCAGGTAACATTAAAACCTACTGGTATTTATAGCGGAGCTCTTGCGTGCCAAAGGTGCGCAAGCAGAGCACCATACCTTAAAAAATTTGGTAACCCATTGATCTAAAAAATTTTGGTTGTCGCGTGATTGTCTGTATTTCTGTACATCTGTATGTACGTCTGTACGCCAATGCCTTGAAAAATAGGAGAGTAGCACCATTGCCATAGCTACATCTCTGATTTCGGGCATCCGTGTTATGGTTAATTGATTGCTGTCAAAACAAGCCATCCGCTGACCTGTATCACGTGACCATACCACAGGCTCGGGTTTAGAGCTCATTCAGGTCAGTGTTTTTTTTTTAAGTTTACCGCTGACCAGGGACTGGTTTTTTTGATTGGATGGTGGGCTCAAGCCAGGTTATTACTCTGGGGGAGAAGGAGGGAGTACATGCAAAGGCAAAATTTTGGCACAAATTAACCCCTGCATGCTGTTGACTTTTCTTCTGACATATTCCTTGCACAATCATCTTGTCAGTTTGTTGAAAACTGAACTGAAAAAAATGGCAAAACCACACCCTGAACAATTACATGCTCACAAATGATCATTTTTTTGAGTTTCTGATCCAAGAAAAACAAATCCTCTTTTTTCTTTATGGTTAGTTTACATTGCAGTCAGGAGCTCTGCTTTTAGGCTCGGCTAAATCTATATATTAATTTAGCTAGCAGAAACAGTGGAATGCTAATATACATTGGAGTTAACTCAGGCCAGAAACAACTTGAGACAAAAGAGAAAGTTCATTAGCATGCAGAATGTAACTATAGTAAGCAGAGAACTTGCATGCTGATGTAGCATTAAAAGCTCTGCAGAAAACAAATTAAAATTGGAAGATTTACAGTAACATTAATGGTATTGAAGATCTAAAAAGAACAAAATTTTGTCAAAAAATTATTCTTATCAAGAGCCATACACATGTGTGAAATTAGTTAAAGCGGTTAATTTCTGGGGTTTGAGAAATGAAAACATGACATTTGTTCAGACTGATCATCCTACTTTCTTACATGAGGAAATGTAGTTACCAGTCTTCGAGATAAGTTAGGGGTCTCTAGTCAAAAACCCTATAAGGTCAGCTACATGACCCAGCAAAGAAATAGAAAATTTACCCTGATTTGGTGGGAGTAGTGGAAATTGACCTGTTGAAATTCCTTGTTGACACCCAGCCTTGAAAACGTATTTGGAACCCTGAGTCACAGCTTCTACCCTAGATTGGCAAGGACATAACACACATACATGCACACAGAATGAGAAATGCTGTGCTAAACACGTCTTTTGATTTGTGTGAGTAAAATTTCTTTCAGATGATAAAGAATTCAATTCTTCAGCTGAAGAACAAGAACACCAAGAAGGACCCTGTTTACATAAAATAAAAAAGATGGCACACAAAGCAGACTTACTGAAGAGCATCTTGTTTCATGGAGTACCCATGTTCCAGCCAAAGTACATGCCGCAGTGCGATGAAGAAGGCAATTTTGCACCAATGCAATGCATAATGGACAGGAGTAAATGCTGGTGTGTGGACCGTTTGGGAAACAGGATAAAGAACAGCAGAGAGAAGCGGACAAGAGGAAAACCTGAGGAGTTAGATTGCAGTTGAAAGCCCACGTCACAAGGATGCATTTTACACCCATATGTAAGTTTTAATTTTTCGCTTCCCTGTTAAAGAATGTTTGTATTAAGCATTGGTCATTAACAAATAAATATGCTCAATCAGTGAAAGATTATGGTAATCTCCTCATTGCTAATTCTTTTGTTCCTCTTTTTTTTCTTTTTACAGATTGAGAGATTCAGCAACATGATAATAATATTATAGAATAGCCAATCATAATAAAGAAAAGACTAATTTAACGAAGTTCAATTTTGTTTTAACCCTAAAGGGCCTCAAAAATTTATTGATTGATTGAAGCTTACAAAATTTTCTTCAAACCATGCATTTTGTAGTTGTGTTACATTGAAAAAGAAATATTTTGCATATTTTTTTATTTTTTGTTCTGATTACTGTATGGGACAAAGTCTTTCAATGTCATCTTTCTATAAATATAATTGTCAGAACAATCACATAAACAAAAATTGCACCCTAGTAGTCATATATCATAACCTGTTACAGTGCTATGCACCATACAGTTGCCACTTTTGAAAGTTTTTTATTCAATTTTGAAATCTTCTGGACAACTTTTTGCTAATTTTTGTTGGCTTCTATATGAACCAGCCAATCAAAACATGGAAACTGTCAAGGGTGAGGTGTTAAATTGTCAAATTCACCATGAAATCTCATGGGAATTTCAAAAGTCTCAACCTGCAAACGGTTGTAACCGATGGAAAGTTGTTACAATTTGATTTCCCATTTGAAATGGAAGCCGTCAGAAGTTGTCAAAAAGTTGTCAAAAACTAACCAAAAACTTATTAGGTGCAATAGTAAGGTACGTCGCACTGTAAGGCTTCCCTCCAACTTTCAAATTCTGAGTGCCGGTTAGCTTGCACTGCACATGTAATAGTAGTCAGAAGAATTTCCTCACATAATTGAGCTGATGTAAAAACAGAATGATGTACCTGTATTGAGTAATACCTAACTGAAGGGCAGATTTATTTTATTTTATTTTATTTTATTTTTTTCATTTGATTAAATACTCACTACTTGAGGCCTAAAGAAAAGTAAATACGCCAGCTTTACCATGTACATTGCATCGCTCAGTCTTTTTTGGCCTTGCTTTTGGATTTGTATAATAGGACAAATGATGAAAGAGTTATGATAGATTAAACACTGATTTTTGTTTAGTAATAATTAAAATTTTGTAACCTGACTGAAGTTTTTTGTACTTTTTATAACAAACAGGGGCCATATTCAGGTTTTCTTTGATTCTTATACTTGCTTTTATGGATGGTATCTAAATTGACTTGATAGTAAGATATGTAAGTAATTTATTGATAGTTTTATTGCTGTACTTGAGGTGACCAACTTAATTGTTTTCAATACTATTTATCGGAATATATTCATCCTACAGTATGTCAAAAATCAATGAGTAGTGACTTTCTTGTTTAAAAATAAACCAGATTTAAGTATTAAAGTGTCGAGTTATTGTACATACTAAGCAGACACTTAACTTGTTTGCCGAGAGATTTAGTGCTCTGTGACAATCTACTCCCTTTTACAACCGATGTAGGTACGTACCTCCGTGTGCCGTCCCGGAGCTGTTTTGGTTGGAAACAAGATTATAGGTTTTGCCTGAAAAACGAGCACGACACTATAGCTTCAAGTAGCTAAAAGTGTGTTTCTGAGGCAATTTGGAGTCTGAAACGTCGACACGCCAGGGTTTAGAGTCTCGGGCGGCACACCCTCTCCCCCCACCTCCTTTTAAAGCACAAGGAATACCCTTGTCCCCCAGGGTGACCCAAAATGTTTGCATTGTGAGGCTACCTATGATCTTTTCTTTGTTATTGTGCATTCACTTCATCGGACATTTAGGAAGGAAAGTGGAAAGCGACCTTAGCTCCGTTGTCCCGTCTTGGAACAAAACCTCCCGTGCCCTCTCCTCTGGAAAGTCGTATTATGATGGAGACAAAATGGATCAAAATGGGATTTCACAATATCAAGAGAAAATGAGGTAGATTGTGGTCCTCAGACAGTAAGCAAAGTCACGGTTTTCGGATCTTGAAAAGTTCAGCCTAAATTTTTGAAGTATGTCTTTTGTAATCCATGTTAATCTTCTCCATCCTTAACCATCCTTGTTTCTTATGGTTTATTATTATCTCTGTCGTGTTTTTCTACGTTTATGAACTTTTATTTTCAGGTTCCCTTCAATTTAAAGGTAATATTGTTCGACGCCAAAATAACTCAAAATAGCGTGAATGAGCTCATTTAACCGGAGGATGACGGCTTATTCGCTGGTTCGGCTAAAAATATATTGAACGAGGCTAGAGTCTACTGTTACAAAAAACCCAAGGAGATGACGTCGTTTTAACATGCGCTGCAGGCAGGGGAGAATTCATTTCTGTAGTCACGTGGTCAAAGAAAGTTGGCGCTTTATTTAGCCTCCGTCTCCATGTCCTCTAAAGGCTGCCGCACACTAGCCGATTTTTTTGTCGTAGACCTGCAGATTTTTTGTCGGGGTCAAATCGGGTTAAAATTTGTCGGGCCAACAGTTTGCCGCACACTAGCCGATTTTTGTCGCGACTAACCTCGTTGAGGCTTAGGGTCGAGTCATCCAAAATTAAGATGGCGCCTATTCCACTGACGTCTTGGTCCACCACACACTAGCCGACAAGGCCCGACAAGGCGTTTTGAGATCTAGCACTGTCAGATATCACCCGACAAGCCCCGATCTTGTCGCAGACTTGTCTGAATTCACCGCACGCTAGTTGACAAGTGAAGATTATTTGTCGGCCGACAAAAAAGCGGCTAGCGTGCGGCGGCCTTCAGTAAAGACTGTAAAATGTAAATCTCGCTATTGAAAAAGCGTAGGCTTTTGCAAATGTGCTGCAAAGGATAATTACTTCCTTTCAACTTGAAGTAGAGGTGGATGTATCGGTTCGAACTTGTGTCTAAAGGTAACACAGAAAGGAGATAATATCGGATAGACCCGGATGTTGAGGGCCCAGTTCCCTTGCTCCATGCGCTCTGTGACATGAAAGATAAAAATGGCGAGAGAGCAACTATCTTTACTCACAAAAGTGAGGACAGAATGGAAGCAATTACATGCTCAGAAACTGTTCTTGAACTTGAACGCATGTGCACAATTAAACCGGAACCAGGATTTTCTGGTTGCAGTTTTCGAATTTTGCCCAGAACTTTGAGCATGCGCGTTCAGTCACTGCTGACGTGGGCTCTAGGGGCGAGATTAACGAGCATGTGGAGTCAACATCGCATGCTCATTCGTAGCCTGCAGTGCAGGCGTCTTATTGGGGCGAGTTAGCGTTACAACCTTGCGAGCGCCTTTTTAGACCGCCATGTTAGACGGTGGGGGATGGGGGAGGGGAAAAATGAGAAGACGCCTGCCCGAAAAGCCCGTTAAAATGCGAAACACCTCC